TGAGTTACGCTATTGACAGCAGCATGGTACCCGCGGCATTCTTTCACATTTGACTTGCTAAAGTCAAGCAGATTTTTCTTACTAACAATATTAATAAAACCATACCCCCACTTAGAATGCCACCTTTTTTCCTGGTGAAATAGATTATTTTGCAACAAAATGTGAACATTGACAATGGAGAAAAGCACAAAACCTCCCCAACACCACCCCGCATCGTTGTTAGTATACAGTAATAGTGAGACTGAAACAAATTTATCGCTATAGTCACCATAGTAACGCTTGTTCCATAAACTGTTCTCGAGTTCTTGAAAATCCAACTACTGTATGTATACTCAAAGAATATTTCTTAGTTCCAACAAGAAGGAAAAACACTCATGGGGATCAATATTAAAACAAGGGACAAGTAAATGGGTAAATTCAAGAAATTTTTTCGTGTCCCTATCACATCTGACATGTAATTTTGTAAGTTCATATGATTTTGTAAGTTCAGAACACATTTTCTAATTTTCAAGAGTGATGAATTAATGCAAATTACCTGCAAAACAAATACTAAGTAATAGTTATATATTTTATATTGACAACGACATTTCGCTTTGTTATTCGGTCTTGTTTCCGAAGATACCGGAGGATCAATTGGCGTTTATTAATGACGCAAACGACGCCGGCGTGGTCCTGTTCTCTCTCGGTACCCACGTGAATAAGATGGAGGTGACACGTGCCGAGATGCTTGCGCGGAGCCTGGCCAAGCTACCTCAGCGAGTGGTATGGCATTTCCCTGGTGACACGTCGAAGCTCCCCCTAGGCAACAACACCAAGGTTGTGCAGTGGATGCCAATGCAGAAGATAATGGGTCGGTGTATTAGCTTCTACATTTAAAATTTTTACCCTTTCCCGTTGGTGGCGGTCGCTGTTTTGCTGTCCCTATTTACTGATGTCCTGCCACTGACCCTTCTCTTGGTTGATATGAACCACTGTCCTACACAAGTTACAGTAGGAGCATTTACTGAGGAGGCTTGCATTAGTCTTGGTACAAGACGTTCTTAGCGCCGTTTTTACCCTGCAAGACTGACGTTGCAATTGCATTGGTACCCACACATACAGTGCACCCGTACACACATTGAACACCTGTTACGCAAACGTACGCCACTCACAAACATAGATACACACCTCAGATATATATATATACGCACGGACCACAGTCTTACGCGTACAGCCATGATTTTGTAAAGTATGGGCAAACAATGGGCGAAACGGTGAATGACAGCGCGTCCAGTGCGCGGTACGCGCAACGCACTTAAAGTGCCTGTAGGTTATTTGTTTACATACGCTTCGATATACGTGCACCTTTTTGCTTTTCGGTACTGCTTTATCTTCTTTTCAAATGTTGCAACCGCATTGTTTTGAATCCCTGTGGGCCAGCTGAAATAAATAGAGGATTGTTTACAAGAGAGCGTTACGTACATGTTCACAAACCTGACTTGTACATGAACCGCCCCGCAAAAAGAATTTGCCCAGAGCCCAGAGCCTCGACTCCATGGGCTGCGTGCGCGTTCCTTCACTAACCCCTGATCGTGTGAAGCTGAAGAGCATTCAGAATGAATACACATAAACGCAATCTAAGTCAATCGCACGCGTATTTCAAAAGCTACACGCTCGCGCCCCTGTATTCTCCTGCAGGTCATGCACGCGTAAATCTGCGTTGCGCGTAAACATACTGACTAAAGACCTAATTTAAATATCACAAATTATAGTAAGATATTTAAATTATAAAAAATACCAGGGGTTAGATCAAGCAAGGCAAGGTGGGAACCAACATGGCGCAGCAAGCTCGTACCCATGGGAACGAGGTTGGCCAGAGCAGTATAAGCCGCATTTCACCAAATGGTGGTATTTCTGCGCGCGAGCTCATTATTATTTGGGGATCCCAAGGGTTTTTTACAGTAAACATTCCATAATCAGGAGGGATCATACAAAATATGAATGCAAAATACTGCTACCCGGTCGGGCCAGCCCACGTCAGCGAGCTTTAGAAGGCCGGCGACGCCGATCCGTTTTGGCAACAGTTTACCGCCTGGCCCGCAGCACACCACTTCGCGGCAACTACACCCAAGCGCCAGTTTCGGCCTCGACGAACGGGGACAATAAGAACTGGGCAGACACAGCTCATACAGGGCCACACCTTTTCTTTATTCCCAACGACAAGCGCCTTCACAAAGGCGCTTCGCCTAAGTTACAGCTATACCGTTCTCCGGCACAACAACGTTAAGAATTTACAATGAATGTGAATTACTGATTCTTTTAGGATTTGAAATGGACAATCATTAAAATTGACTAATATGAGCGTGACAATGTGATTAGCAGTCAGTAAGGGAAACTAGGCTATGCCTCGATTATTTGCACTACTATGTCCAACTCACACTTGAGTACCGTATTTGTTTCCCGCGCTTTTAATACACACACTAAACCGTTAAGAAACGAGAAGAGAGCGAATCACGCCTGCTATGCTGCGTGTTTTTATGGGGTCTACTAGGTTTAACTGGTACACTGAAACAACCATACTAACATAAACTCCTAACCGCCGGGAACCATCGATGGTACGCTTGAATTCGGAAAACTGGTATCGATACTGCAGTGCGTTACAATATGATTACAGAATAAGATTGTCGCACAAAACACTGCCGCATTCAGTGGTAACAGACAAACTGCATATATAAGGCGTATTCAATTTTTGGAAAATGTTTCTATATTTTAAATAGATTTTCTTCGTTTTGATCCATTTTTACAGCGACACCAACGACTGAGGTGATATTAAAGGGTGCATTCTACCAAATGGTTGTATAAGCCCCTTAAAATTGAAATTAAAAGTTATTTTCTGGCCATTATCTTGAATTCCAAGTGAAAAAAAACGGAGGCCAACCTCATTCTAAGAGTGGACAGGCGGTGCTCTTTCGGTCGGATTTTTCACTCTTTTCTATGGGCGCATATTTGGAATGGTGTGGTGCAACCACGAATGGCTCTGCAGTTGTTCACGTTGAAGCGCCCTCTATCGGTTAATCGCGGTGGAGGTGATGAATCGCGATCCACAACACAGCCGAACAAAGGACGTCTTCGACCTAGACTAAGTTAGCACTCCAGTGATGAAACACTGTCACCAAGAGCTTGTGAGCACAGCTCACCAGCAGGGTCAGATGGGACTTGAACCCAAGACGTTTAGTAGGCCCTATATGTGTACAGCGCATGCATGCACCATTCGATTACTGTCAAATCGAATGAGATATTAATTATGTGCGGTATCTGCTGCGAGCGGAACAAAAGAGGGCGTTTTTTGGTACTCACCACAGACACATAGTCGAGTTCGGGCGGCCTGTTCTTGACACGAGTTTCTTGTTCTCGTGCTCGAACGGCGGGAACATGACTCAAGAACGCTGTTCTCGGAACAGGATCACACACCACCTCCTCGTCAGGGTTTTACAGTAACACACGGAAAAACTCTTGAGATTCTGATTTTTGAACAGCTGCCAAAGTAAAGAGATGGCTTCCAAAGCTATAGAAAATGGGAAGTTTTGCAAAATTTAACATTAACTATTTTCTGTAAAACAGAAATGAATGTTCCTGTTCATATAGAAAAAAATCGGCCCATCCAAACATTAACTCTCGAATAACACAGCCTACATGGACGCCGCCACGTTAAATGTTGCTTGTCACTAACTACCAGCGATAACCAGTTGTTTGTTCCTGGCGTTCGAGCGGCCGACCCGCGAACAACAAATCGAACTGTTCGTGAACATACGGGAACAAGCCGCCCGAACTCGGCCATTAACACATAGACCACCACCTTGTGCGTATAACTGTGATTTTAAAAAGCGTGGGCAAACAGTTGGCGAAATAATGGGCAGCAACGCGTTCAGTGCAAATCGCGCGAATCGTGCGAATTACACATGCTCCAAAAATACCTTCCCTTTTTGCTCTTTGGTACTGATATCTCTTGTTTTCAAATGTTGCAACCACAATGTTTAGAATCGGCAAGGGCCAGATTAAGTAAACAATAACAATCGAAAAACGGCTTAATAGAATTTTATAGCTGGAATTTCCTATCCGCATAAATTCCCTATCCGCTCCGAGCGGATCGAAAGAAGGCATGTTTTTTGGCACTCACCGCAAAGGTGCGCCAGGAGGCGCGCAAGTATGCACGTTGGACGGGGAGCTCGCTGAGTACGCGTAACTAATTTACTCCGGCATTTATTGGTTTTTTGCTTACCGTACGCAGAATGCGTGCAAGTTGTAACCACCTGTCTTTCTTTTCGCCGATTGATGGTGCACTGCAGCTAGCTCGGGTGGATACCGAGGGGTGAATTTGCTCACGCTTTTGGATTCAGTCGGGTGCCGTCTCGGCTATGGTACCACGCCGTCAACCTCGTTCCCATAGGGACGATCTTGCCGTGCCATGTTGGTTCCCACCATGCCTTGCGCGATCCAACCCCTGGCATTGTGTAATTTAAATATCCTATTATTTGGAATATTTAAATTAGGACTTTATTCAGCGTACTTACGAGAGACGTAGATTTACGCGTGCGTGACACGCCAGAGAATACGAGGCCGCACCTTTTGAAATATGCACGCGACGACTTTACATTCATGTATATTCATCCTGAATCCGGTTAATAATTGTGACGTCACTTCAGTTTAAACCACACCCACTGCACATGCACTGCGGATAGACTTATGTGCACTGATCGCCGTTTACAGGGAACCATGGAACCGGAACTTAACGCGCAACTTCAGCCAACGTTCAGTCAATGGGAGCCTGCAAATTGTGGCGTTTCCGCCTTTGTGACACTTATGAACTGGACAGCCAATCAGCGTCATTTTCGTATCCTACACGACCAGGGCTAGTGAAGGAACGCACACGCAGCCCACGAAGTGGAGGATGCCCCGCCAGTTTATGTGTTTATAAGGCTATGGTACTTATTCGTGCAAGAAACCACTTGGAAAACTTACTACCATCTGTCTTTCTTTTGCCGCGGGGGGGGGGTGCACGTCGATTCGGGACGGATAGCAATAGCTCACTTCCTGCTATTTATTTTTACAGCCGTCAAAATGTTATTTTCACAATAGCCCACCCTAACGTGAAGGCGGTGTTGTGCCATGGTGGCTCCGGTATGCTCCACGAGGCGATTTGGTTTGGTCTACCTGTTGTTGGTATCCCGTTGTTTGGCGACCAGTTCGACAACATGAACCGCGCGGTTTGCAAGGGCATAGCCGTCTCGTTGGATCTGTTCGACATGACAGAAGAAAGTCTCCATCATGCAGTCAACCGCGTCATCCACGATCCAAGGTATTTTTTTTCCTTTCCTGTTTTGCTTTTGGAACCTGCATCAAAAGTCGTGTTCAGAAATCGGCAGTTTTGAACCTCAGAGTGTTTTCACTTGTCACATTTCTTGGATATTTCTGTGATTATTTCCTATAGTATTTCCTTTTGTTTTCTATTTTTGAACAGCAGATTGTCTAACTGTTTTTTCTACTTTAAATTGTTAAAAAGATAAGCAAAGAAATTGACTGGAGTGGGATTTGAACCTTGACCTCTGGAATACTGTACCAGTGCTCTACCACCTGAGCAATCCTACGTTGGTGGCTCTTCCCGATTGTTAATATCTCTGTTCGGGGGGCGCTAGCAAGAGGTCATTAAACCTGAAACACCATGTAGCCAGGGATCATACCCCAATGACACGATAAATCGTTACTTTTCTCTTCGGTTTCTCCTCTTCAGCTTTCGCAGAAAGGTGGCAAAGCTTTCGGAAATTCTCCACGACGAACCTCTGATCCCCACCGATAAGGCAGCCCACTGGATCAGTCACGTGACCAGGTTTGGCGGAGAGCACCTGCAACCTCGAGGCGCCAGCCTCGGCTTTGTCGAGAGAAACCTGCTGGACGTGGGGGTTGTTCTAGCGGCCGCCGGTTGCTTTGCGTTGTGGCTGGGTGCATGGATATGCCAAAAATCCGGCAGTATGGCTGTTTGCTACTGTTCAAAAATGTTCAAAAGGCTGAAAAGTTGGGAAAGGGTTTAAACTCGTCTTAATGAAGAACACTAAACCGTTCACGCAAGTAGCCAATTCCACATGTTCTATTGAGGCCTATATGATTAAATAGTTAAGAATTTGTTTTCAAATTATCTTTAAAAAGTGTTGACATGCAGGGTATAAACTGTCATGTAGTCATACGAATATGTTATCTGTTTTGTTTTTAATTACCATTGAATTTTTCCA